TAATAACTACCTCCCACATCTCATGGGAGAGGAAGAGGAGTTGGGAGTGAGCTGATAACTTTCTCTCATACAATGTTTATCCTAGAAAAAACTGCCTAATAAGAGACCATAATTAAAGGGGATCAAATATATGGTGATGGGAGGAGGCTAGACTTTGGGTGGTGAGCACACCATGCAATATACAGATGATGAATTATAGAATTTATACTTGAAAATTGTATTATGTTATTAAATAATGTTATGCCAATAAATTTAATTTATAAAATGAGACAATAATATCTTAGCCCCCCAAATCTTTATTTTCCCTTTAATCTGCTCTGTAAAGGACAGTGGAAAATAAATTACATAAGGAAAACACAGATAAATGATTATATGTAAAATTTATGCTATGGTTCTACATAACTAATATTTTCTCCCAAACATTTTGAAATCTACATAAAGAAAAGCATTATTAGTTGCTATGGTTAACAAAATTTCTTTTTAGCATTTCTCACTGTATCCACAGAGAAGTGATGGTTTTTCTTTGAGTTAATTCCAGCTGCTCATAAACTATACAATTATAAGGTGCAACTGACACAGAAAGGGTTTAGAATTAAGCCTTTGCTCAACCCTGAAGCACTTGGCTAGGCTTCTATAAAAATCTTTTTTTCACACTTTGACTCACAGCTTTTTATCTTCTACCACAGTGTAAAAGACAGGATGCAATAGATGTGGTCTTAATTAAAGAATGAAATTTATTTTTATATCCTTCAGCTTGAGAAGTTTATGGGCAATCTGAACTTCTTTTACTGGATCTTCAAATCTAGCTAATGACACCAGTCAGGTTGAGCAACCAAAGCAGATACACATTTTATACTTTACATAATCTAGAACTTTTTATTTTGCTTTAAATATTAGTGTAGACTATTGAGAATTAAATCTTATAGTCCCCCCTACCAAACTGATATGTGACACTGTTTATTGAAAACTCCACTAATAATATGGTTTATTCAATGATTCACTCTGAGGCCACTTTGGGAATGTTCTTCTTTGAAGGCATGCATAGGTTCCAATTTTGAATTATCTATCTATAATTATTGCATTTGTAAGATTCTAGTTTCTTCTCTTTCCTCAGGTTCAAAACCATTCCCATTCTCCCTCAAAATAGCTAAGGTCCAAAAAGACTTGGGGGGGCAGGGAATGGGAAAAGTGTAGGAGCGGGTGGAGGAAGTGGCAGTGGGGAGTGGGGGTGGAGAAGAAAACACAGTGCCTGCAACAGGCAGGAGTAAAACATGCTGGAGGAAGTGAGGATGCCCACCATCGGGCTGAGGAACTAAACCTAATCATGTTGTGAGGGCAGAAGCAGATCTGTATTAGTTTGCTAGGGCTGCTGGAACCAGAACCACAGACTAGATAGCTTAAAACAGAAATTTATTTTCTCACAATTTCAGAGGCTGGAAGTCCAGGATCAAGGTTTCAGTAGGGTTGGTTCTTTCTGAAGACTCTGTGTGAAGGATCTGTTCTAGGTCCCTCTCCTTGGCTTATAAAAGACTGTCTTCAACCTGTGTCTTCACAGTGTCTTCCATCTGTGTGTGTCTGAGTCTAAATTTCCCCTTCTTATAAGGACACCATTCATACTGAATTAGGGCCCATCCTAATACCTCATTTGAACTTGATTATCTTCGTAAAGACCCTATCTCCAAATAAAGTCACATTCTGACATAATGTCATTAGGACTTCAACATATGAATATGGTGGTGGTGGTGGGGGGGGTATTATCCAACTTATAACAACATCTCAAAATAAGGAATAAGGTCATGGCCATGTGTCTCTACTCCCAAGTTGCAATGAAAAAGGTTCTCAGTTCATCCAGGGTTAGCAGAGAATCACTTTCTGGGACAAAATTCTAATTTCTCAAGATTCACATTTCCTGGTGAACTCTCACTACTTACTATGGCGTTCCCTAGTTTGGCATTCATAGGGAGCTGGATTATGGAATACCATGATACTCCACGGTTTTTATTCCATTATCCCCAAGTATTTAGTGAAGTGTTATTTAAAAATGTTGAGGGCAGAATCACTTCATGCCTAGGCTATTAAGATAGTACAGTGGCCCCGGAGGCCAATAAGGTGGCACTAGGAAGTAGTGAGGGACCATCAGGGGTTCCAGCCGTGGGCAAACTACGGCCCGCGGGCCGGATCCGGCCCGTTTGAAAGGAATAAAACTAAACAAAAAAAAAGACCGTACCCTCTTATGTAATGATGTTTACTTTGAATTTATATTAGTTCACACAAACACTCCATCCATGCTTTTGTTCCGGCCCTCCGGTCCAGTTTAAGAACCCATTGTGGCCCTCGAGTCAAAAAAGTTTGCGCACCCCTGGTTAGGCAAATGCAAAGCCTTCGGTCTCCATTGCTGAATTTGAAGGATGTAATCTAGGAGGTTTCCGTATACAGTTCTAGCATTTATGTTGAGGAAGCCATTTTTTGAATTTCACATATTCAGGCTTCAGAGTCAGATGATTTTGATACTTCTGGGAGATTTCTGTTGAAATCCTATACATTTTACATATATTGATTGGCATATTTCCTACTAAAAGTGTGCAGCTAGTATTTTAATGTGAGGGGTAAGTGTAGCTAAGGAATGTTGACTAACTTGCAGATTTATCAATTATCAATGGTTGGGTGTTATAAAAAAGAATATTAAATCTTATTTCATATATAAGATAATTTTGAATATTATTTTTCATCCATATAAATATTAATTTTGTGAGTGAGAGTCCTTATACTGATTCCATGTAAAATAACATTATTTAAGTCTACTATTCAGGATCAGAAGGGATATTTACAAAAACTGAAATTCTAAGGATGTGAAAATTTAAAAGAAAGATAGAAAAATGAAACAGTAGTCCTGCAAAATTTTGGAATCAATCGCGCCTACTATCAGTGTTATAGCACAGATATACTGTAAATAACTACAATTCTCTTAACTATCATTTATCTATGCTTATTCAGTTCACCTACAATTGTAGTTATTGTTCCCACAAATTTTATTTACATTAACTCATTTGTTCTCACGGCAACCCTATAAGATTAGATTTTATTATCCTCATTTACACAAGGAAGCTTAGATAGGTTGTCAAACTTGCCCAAGGAAATAGGGGAATAGATGGCCTACTTTGACTCTTTTTTAATATATATATATATATGTGTGTGTGTGTGTGTGTGTGTGTATTGAGTTTAGAGAGGAAGGGAGAGGGGAGAGGGAGATAGAAACATCAATGATAAGAGAGAATCACTGATTGGATGAATCCTGCACACCCCACCACTGGGATTGAGCCTACAACCCAGGCATGTGACCTGACTGGGAATCTGACCATGACTTCTTGCTTCATAGGTCGATGCTCAGAACCACGCTGGCCAGGCCACTCAAACTCTTAAACTATGTTCCTAACCAACAAAGTTCATGACAAAGGCTTTTTCAAACGCATGGCGGGGTGGGGGGTGTGGGGGGGAGATCAGGAACTATCAGTGTTACAGCAAAGATATACTATAAATAACTAATATATAAATCACATACCACAGGATATTTATGTATCTTATGAAAGTGTGTCAAATCATAAATTTAGCCCCAAATTTAAGAGCCTAATTGTCCCATTTATCCTGCACATTATGAATTATTGATTCAAATTTTGTGTTGATTTTTCATGTTCCTGTAATCCAAAAAGCTGGAGTGAAGTCTCTAATTAAATATCCAAGAATTGATTTCAGATGGACAGGTGGCTCAGCCTCAAATCTTGACTCTTTTACAAATTAGTTAATTGACCTTGGAAAATTCACTTAGCCTTTCTGAGCCCCAGATGCTGTCCTGCAAGATTTTGTGAGATCCGAAAGAGATAATCCATATGGAAATATGCAATTAGTACTTTGTGACACAAAGTGGTGCTCATTGAATATTCACTGAATGTGAATATCAATCAGTTGTTTCTTTCCAGACCAGATTTCTCAAACCTTCCAAAGATCAGTTCTTTGTCTCATAACATCATGCTCTCATCCTTGAGTTGTATAGATCAACAGCTCAATGTCAGATTTTTAATGTCCCATAGCTTTATACCACAATATCTATGTCTAAGATTGTGTACTGAATTTTAAAGTTTTTATTCTGTTTTTTTATTTCCTATATGAAATAATACAATGCTTATCCTAGATAATTTTCCTAAAATTATATTGTAACTAAAAATATATATGTATATAATTTATTTTTTTCTATAGAGATCAGGACCTGGAAAATTTAATTGAAGTAAATTCTAATGTACCCAAAAATAAGAATGGAAGGTAAGGCTTAATTTAATTTACTTTTATTTTATGAATTTTATCTGAGCCTGCATAAATTATGTAAACTTGAAATGTTTTCTAAGGAATTGCACTATAGTATGGTATTTAAGTATAAATACTATCTCAACACAGAACAATGTACAAGGTGATTAATAAGCTGATATAGGAAAAAAATATTAAAATTCAAATTCTGTTAAAATTTCTGACCAAAAGCCTGCTGTCCTATTGCTTAGTGTAAAAGGCATCATGAAAATTCAAATTTCTGCACTTGGCCTGTGAAGACTTATTTTTACTTACTGTTGCTTGGTAGATTTTCAGTGCTGCAGAAAACACACTGAGAATATTTTCCTTGGATGCCTGGTGCTAAAAGAATACACAAATTCACCGCAGCCACAAAACAGGACCTAATTTTGAAATTTCTTGATACCACACAGTATAATGGCTTTAAAACTGTTGTCCCTTGGTTGCTTTTATAGGAAGGTTTGGGTAGAAACTATCCTTTATTGTTGTTACAGACTGTTTAAATTAGGAAAGAATAAAAAAATATTCCATGGTAGCAATTCTTTTCCCCTTCTATATAGAGGGAACCCTGAAAACAATAGGGTCCTATTTTCTATCTTTCTAAGGTGCAGCTGCCTTTTCTGTTTAAAAGTCTTTTTAATCTAAAGAAGCGATATTGTTGATATTTTGTGCAGAGAATAGAAAATCAGGAAAAGAGGTAGGTTACTTATTCCATCCCCCCTGCAAATTGTATAGAAGGTTCTTGCATCTAACAGATCTAACAGGTAGTTTCTGTCTGTTCTCTTAGCTCCCCAAATCATCTTCCTTCTTTTTTTTTTTGGTATTTATAAAACATTTGATAAAATGAAAGAGTAAATTGTCAATCACATCACCTGGCCAGCATGGATCAGTGGTTGAGCATCGACCTATGAACCAGGAGGTCGTGGTTCGATTCCTGGTCTGGGCACATGCCCAGGTTGCAGGCTCAACCCCCAGTGTGGGGCGTGCAGGAGGCAGCTAAACTTTCCTTTGGGTTTTCATGTCATTTCAATATTTGAGTTTACTAACATGGAGGAGAATAAGGAGCTAAACCTTTCACTATTTTTGCTTTAGAATTTTTCTCTGTTTCATAGGAAAAAGCAAATATGCCTATACTTTGTTAAGCATAGTGACATTTTGAGATTAGTGGAAATCTAAGTCAAAATTCTTCTACAATCTTCAAAGAATGGCTTTCCATTAAAAATAAAATGAAAACTGGAATTTCTCCAATCAACCTCTGGATAATTTTCATTAAATTGATAAACTCTCAGATATATTGTACATGAAAAGCTTTCTAAAATGGCACTGCTGCTGTGAAAATGTTACCAGGACCAAGTTCAGGTGGTCCCTGCCCTTAATAAAAAGTATTCCATCCTAGTACTAGATAATGTGTCATATGCCTAAAGATTATTCTTAAAGGTGGTTTCTGTGAATAAGTAAAATAGGACATGTATTCTGCTTGTGTACCTGTGCAGAAACCCAGCAAACATAAACGGGTTCCTGTTACTTGAACAGAATTTTAATAAAATGAAAAAATATTTAAGATAAGAAGAATTCCAAGTGGCTTTGATTTTTAAGTGGCAAATATTTGTTTGCTTTCTCAGGCGAGAAGGCCAAGTCAATGGATTGACTGATGCTCCCAACAACTGGTCCACCAGAACGACTACCCATTCTTATGAAGCTAGGAAGAATTTCAGGTAGTATCATGGTCAATTATAAAACAAAGGACAGGACTATTCTTCCTCTGTTTTTAATAAACATCACATATACAACCTGACCCTTCTTTTCAAATGCAGAAATAAATTTCTCATTTTATTAGTGGCTAAATAGGCTTACACAAAGGTGTTGAGTTAGCAACTCGGTCCTTGGTAAATTGGGACATATAGATAAGAAGGTGTAAATGTAACTTTTCTCTAAAAAGTCTAGAGTATGGTGTGTTTTTGTTGTTGTTATTTTATTTAAAGCATGATTGTGACATTGGCATTGACATCCTTTAGCTAGATTTAAAAGTTTCATTAAAGTCAGATTTATGTTTAGTTAAGGTCCATTTTTGTTTGAGATTTGGAGGGACAAGTATGGTTTGGAAATATGAATGGTACATCAGAGAAACTAAATGTCCCATTAAAGACACTAAAACATAGTGCACAAATACTCAAAATAATCTTCATGTTCTACAGCAGATTTAGTGAGTGACCAATTTTCATATTAGTATTCTAGAAGCAGGTCAAGCCAGTGGAAGGCAGGAATAAAATAGGAGACATAGGAAATTTTGCAGAAATAAATTAATACCACTTTAATGTTTATATTTCAAAGGTAATAGCTTAGAAGTAATATAGTATTTTTTTGCATTGGATTGAATAATAGCCTTGTTATTTTTTATTATTCTTGTACATAAACTTTAACTGTAAACTCAATGTTTTTCCCCAGTTCCAATGCTGACACCGGGCCTGCAGGACCAAAGGATACTGTTGTGTACACGAGAACATATGTGGAGAACAGGTGCTGGAAATTTATTTAAAATATTTTTCTATACCTACAATTTTGAAATGATCTATGTTTAAGAAGAAATGGTATTATTTTAAAGTGTACTTATATATTTTTTTTCAAATAGAAGGCCATTTAAGAGTATATTGGATTCTAGGTATAAAATTCTTCATGATGTTTCTAATATTAAGTAGTTATCAAATAATCATAAAAAGTCATTCAGTAGACTAATAATTTAATATAGCACATGCATACATAACAGGATAGCCATTTGAAAATTTTCATATATGTTTATGTGAGAACATGACTATATATGTATAATTAGCTTTATAAAATCACACAAGAATGTCTATGCTAATTTGGACTTGCACTTTAATTAAATGGTAGTATCCACTGTTGTTAGCCACTTATCTGAAATATGGGGTATATCTTTTGGTAGATATACTCTGGCCCAAATTCCAGGGAACTGTTGTCCCACAAAATCTGCTGGTTGTGTGATGGATGTGAGGAAAACATCAACCAAGGCCAGGGAAGTGTGCATTTGATTTTCAAGGAGAATAAAAACAAGAGTTAGTCTGATTGTGGGGTAATGTGACGGCGGGGCATGCAAATGCAGATATAGGTGACTGTGTTAATCAGAGCCCATTTCAAAGAAACCAAAGAGCAGAGCATCTGGGAGGGCTTCTGAGGGGAGGAGACTCAAGGAAATTTAGTCCATTCAGTGTCAGAAGGTGAACAACCATCCAAAAAAGTTTCTAAATCCCACACATAATTTATCTTATAAAATGCAGCCCCCAAATTTGATTTTTCTGCTGAATCCAATTCTCCCTAAAGTCTGCACTGATGGTGCGGTGCAGTGCAGTGCCGAGGCCCTGGAATCAGACTTGGGATTGAATCTTTGTCATTTACTGACCGTGTGCCTCGGCAAAGCTGCTTAACCACTTCAAGTCTCAGTTTCCCCATCATTAAAATGGGAGTAATGATATACGTGTCATGCAAAAATATGTGCAAACTCCTATTTAGCATCGTGGGTTATGTGTTCCATAATATAGAGTCTATTTCTGACAGCAGTCTGCCTACGGGCAATTACAGTGGTGTATTGCTCACACTGGGAGCATATTGCTTCCATTCCTAACATATGCCCAGGTAACATATGTACCTGGCAAGCAATTATGAGCAGCCAGTTGGTTGGCGCATTACAGATTTCATTTGTCTCCAGGAAAGTGACGTTTACAAACTGGAGCCGCCTAAGAAATGAAACATGGAGGACTTTAAAAAATTATGCACTTTTTTTTTTTTTTTGCTTTCACACTAAACTAATCTTTATTGGATGTATTCAAGTAAAAATAAAATCTTCTATAGCTTGTGTAAAAGTTGAAGGGTCTCTAGTTCTCCATGTGAGTGATGTACATGTACCTGTGCTTGCACTGGCTCTCACTTTGTACATTTCCTTTATGTTAGACTACATGTACCTTTCTTATGGTAAATAAATGAGGGGGGTGCAAGCATAAATTTCATGAAAAATGACTTATTTTGCTGTGCCCTCTTGCCTCATTATCTGTGTGAACTTGGAGATGGCTGTGTATCAATATTTCTCCAGATTGAAAAAAGGCTATTAGTATATTATCCTGGCTTGTAACATCACAAAGGATATAATAATAAGGCTGCATGAGGAGGTGTGTGTGCTTTCTCACCTGTCTACAGGTATATACATTAACACTAGGGAAATAGCCCAGTTCTCATATGTCCATATGTGTTGTTTGTAGTAAATCACCAAAGGATGGCTACCAGGAGAACATTTCTGGAAAATACATACAGACTGTTTATTCAACTTCAGATAGGTGAGTGTGTCTATATTTCCATACGTAAGATTCTATGCAGCCACATCCATGTACATACTAATACATTCTTGTTGTCTGTTGTACTTGGAGATGGTGCTCCTGATGGTGATTGTTAGATACAGGGTGGGGCCAAGGTAGGTTACAGTTTTGAGTATGTGAAACAGAATTTATTCTTATATGATTACTTATTAATATGTGTATTATTTCCCATGCGAACATCTGTAAAACTACTTTGACCCCAGCCTGTGTGTGAAGTACTACAACCTCGGCACCCAGGAATTTGTGCCTTGGCTTCTGGGCTGCTGCTCATGCATTTTATTCCAGTAGAGCTTCTGTGCCTTCTAACTGCCCCCAGGACAGCCCCTCTGCTTGGCCTATTCCCAGGAGCCCCAGTACCACCACATTATGAGAGTGTAGGTCTCATTGCATCACTAGACTGTGCCCTCAGCCCTCCCTCGTCGCGGTTTTCTAAAGCCATCTCACCTTACAAACAGCTGTGTGGATATGCTGCCATGACCCACTCTGGGCCCACACTCCGTTCCCAGGAGGGGTTACAGTGAGTATCAATTTTGTGCTGGTAAACCGACCCCAGGCTTTTGCTGTTAGTGATCACCCTTTAACATTTAATGCTCAGTGGGGCACATAGATGACACTCATGAGAGTGTGGCCAGCGGATTGCCAGTGGAAGAAATGAAAATAAATAATTAGCATTATATCCTAACCACTAGAAACCAGCTGTAATGCAAATGTCCAGTGTTCTACTGACAGTGTTTCTCTATAGAAGAGCCCGGGAATAAGGCTCGTTGTAGGTAAAGACATATCTAATTTTTGTGCACAACCTCCATTCATAATGAGTTGCTTGGCACGACCGGTTACTCAATAAATGTTTTCTGTTTTGTTAATCCTCACCTGAGGATATTTTTCCATTGATTTTTAGGGAGAGTGGAAGAGAGAGGGAAAGACAGAGAGAAACGTCCATGTGAGAGAAACACATCTATTGGCGGCCTCTTGCAGGAGCCCTGACTGGGCCCGGGGAGGAGCCTACAACCAAGGTACATGCCCTTGACCAGATTTGAACCCAGGACCTTTCGTTCCGCAGGCCAAAGCTCCATCCACTGAGCCAAACTGGCAAGGGCAATAAATGTTTTCTGAAAAACATGAACCTATGTTCTGTTTGCTCAGGAAAATATGGATGGACCAGGCATCAAAATTGTATCTCCTGCCCTAGCCAGTTTGGTTCAGTAAGTAGAGTGTTGTTGGCCCATGAACCGAAGGGTCCTGAGTTCAGTTCCAGTCAAGGGCACGGACCTCAGTTGCCAGCTCAATCCCCAGCCCTGGTCGGGAAGCTTGTGGGAGGCAACCAATTGATGTATCTCTCTCACGTAGATGTTTCTCTCTCTGTCTCTCCCCCTCCCTTCCACTCTCTCTAAAAATCAATGGAAAAATATCCTCTGGTGAGAATTAACAACAAAACAGATATTATATCCCCTCTGTCACTTTTATAAAATTTTGTGCATTACTAATGTTCTCAGTGTCTTAACTTTAAGTCATTGCTCTTTGAGGAGTGAAGTCATCTACACAAGCGTGAGATACAGATACTGCTGAGGTGACCAAATACCAGAGCTGGATCCCTCACATACTTAGAAAACACCTTTGACTAACAGTGTGATTTTAATAAGGACAATACCAACACTGGAGCTTTCCCTGGGCTCATATCTTTAGTGTTAACTTAAGGAAGGAAAATATTCTTCATAGAAGTATTGCTCTTAATATGAAGAATTTCAGTCCTGGTCCTCAAGTGGTCCTTGAAATTTTTCTTAGCCATGAAAGCAGAAGTCAATTTTCTATTAAGACCAGTAAGTCCAGCAACTTTTTATGTTGATTATTGTGTGACATGAGCCGTGTCCCCACAGTTCTTATCAAAGCACACTAATCCTACTTAAAGCGGCTTCCCACTTCACAAGATTAAGACAAACTCCTCTGCACATAATTTATGGCCTTCAGTACCTGCTCCTGCATATTGACTACTGTTCAATCACTCCAGACACCCTCATTGAGTAGCACTTTGGTACAGCCTGGTCACTCTACTCCGAATCCCCCATCATGCCCCTCCCCACCTCACTGAGCACACCTAGAGGGCTCCTTCTTCTTCAAGCTGTAAGTCACATGACACTTTTCCACAAGCCTTTCCTGCCGTCACCTGGGATTAGCTGCTCCCTTGGCTGTTCTCTCTGAACTCTTCCCACATGTCTATAATATGCTTCCATCATCTAGTCACACACCTGGCTACCCCAGTGGACAAGAAGCTTCTCATTGGAAGAGACTGTCTCACTCTTCTTTATATTCCCAGCTCCTAGCTCAGTACCTCTGGAATGGGTGAATGATAGAGTGTGCCTGTCTTCTACTCTTAAAGGGCTTGCATGGGACATGAAGTGTGTATACATATGTGTAGAGTCCATAGGAAATTATTTGCGAGGATTATATACGCAAGTAGCTATAGAGTGAGATGAAAGAGGAAGTTGTTATTTCTATACATAAGGGTTAGGGAAGAGGTTACTTGACTGGCTGAACGTGTAAAGCCAGACAACCTTATCTACTCCAATCCCTTTCCTCTCCACCTCCTCCTCCCTTTCATTTCCCTCCTCTCTGCTTCTAGTCCTGGGCTAGATGACAGGATCATCCTGGCTCTTGGGTATGACTCCTTCATGTCAACAATGTGAGCCTACCAGTCCTCATGGGCAGGCCCAAAGGTGGCACAGGGACCCTGGAGCCATGCAGCCTTGCTCAAACCCTACCTCTGCTACTCACTCACTGTCTGGCAGGCACCCTTACGTGCCTCAGTTTACTCTTCTGTAAAATGATGATAAAAAGGATAGCATCTGCTTCTCAGAGATGTGAAGAATAACTGAGTTTAAATAAGCAAAGTGCATGGAAAATGTACTGTACCTATTAAGCGTATTAGCACTATATAAGTATTGGCTGTTTTTATTTCACCACTCCATTATTTACCAGCTCTGAAAATTTCAGTCCCGTATGCCAACAACCCTGAAACTAGTGAAGTCCTCAAGGTGCTATTTAAGGCAGTCCTGAAACCTTCCAAAAGGAAAAGCATCACACAATTATTGGCTTTTCTTAAGGCTCTGCTGTGACCCAAGGTCTTTTTGGACTAGCTGATTAAATATGTACAGTTCATTTATTATTAAACATTATTTTTCCAAAGTAAATAATAAAACTCTTTTTTCTTCATCAAATTTGTGTGTGCAGGGGTGTTATATCATATTGGAGAATATAAATTTTGTCATAGAATGTAGCCCAGTACTCTGTCTTTTAATGATACCAAGCATAGTGTCATAGGAGAGCATTTTGATGACTAGATCCCTAGACCCTAGGGTACTAAGGATCTATCATTTATTAATTTACCAACACACTCTTGAATGAAGTTCTATTTTATCCTATTGAATGTTTTGAGAGTTAAAATTTTATATTAATCTATAGTATAATTTTTCTATGATATATATAAATTAATAATTCAAAATCCTCTTTGAGCTTCAAGGGGCACTTATGAACTAGTTCAGTTAGGAAACTGTAATTATCTTTGCCCTGTCCAGATGCATTTTGATTGCTAATGAATTAATAATTTGAGACCTTCCTTTCTGTTAATTCTTTGGTATTATTTTGAGGTAACTAGAAGAATCAATTCTATCACTAAAATAAGTAAAATCTCAAACTTTCCTCAATTTTTACCATTTCCTAAAGTATCAACAAAATTAACATCATTTCCACATGACTTTATGGGGAATACATCTGTCTTCTGTGTGATGACAAATTTATTTTTAATTGCTAATATCTCTGTAGGTCTGTCATTGAAAGAGATATGTGCACCTACTGCCGAAAGCCCTTGGGCACAAAAACCAAAATGATTTTAGATGAATTACAAATTTGCTGCCATTCCACTTGCTTCAAGGTAAGGATATGTTTATTGTATTTAACTAAATATAAAATTGCATAATGACTGGAATAAAAATAATTATTTAATGAAATACATGAGATGAAGTTAAAGCTTTCAGAAACACTCTCATCCACATTAATAATGCATTGCTTAAGTATTTCTCAGAGTTCTTTAGCCTAACCTCAAAGGTTTATAATTACTGGCTTGGCATTAGGCTTAGAGTTGATTACTGAAACATTTATTCCTCCTAACCTAGAGATTTAAACCTATGAAAAGATAAACACTTGTTTTCTTTATAAAAGTTTTTGCAACATTTGAATAAATCATGCATTGCATAAAATATATAATGAAGTGCGAAAGCTGTTGAGAAGAAAGCTAGCAGCTCTTTATGAGTGCTATTAGTTAAGATGATAAGCTTAACAGCAGTTGAAACTCAGTCTGCTTTTGAGAGCACGGTTAATGATAGTTAATTGTGGTCAGTATAATAGCATTAAAGCTTACATAGTAGAATGCTTCACAGTTTATATTTTCATATTCCACTGCTTTTATTTCTCAAAATAATATTGAGTAGGTCAACATCTTAGTTTGTTGTGTAATGAGATGAGCACTCAATTGGAATCTAAAGATCTGAGTTTAAGTTTTCTAACTCTGCCACTAACTATGGCTGTGTGACTTTGGGAGAGTCACCTAACTTAACTTGGCCTCAGTCTTGTCATCTGTAAAAATTAAGAAGCTGACTAGACTAATGACTGCACATTAAAATCATCTGGGAGGTTAGAAGAAAAATAGAATGCTTGGGACCAGTACTAATTAAATCAAGACTCTCAGAGATGATTTCTGGGGATTGGTAGATCTAATGGGCAGCCAGTTTGAGAACTATTTGCCTGACTCTATGGGTTCTTTTTGTGCTGACATTCTATGAGTTGATGGAAATTATCTAACTCAGTCAAGTAGCTGCAATACTTTGACAACTTGTATTGTAATTGTTTCTCCTCCAAGTAGTTTCAGTGATACATAGCAATCAGAAATATGATGCCTAGTTATGAGCAAAAATAAATCTAACTTTAGGTCATACTATATAGAATACTATATAAAATATATTCTGAAATTTTTATAATTGTTTAATTGTGAGAAAATTGAATTTTCTTTTAGTTATTAAAATTTACTCAGTAAAAAAAAAAGATTATAGTTCTTAATTTAAAATTAGTATGCAGAAAAAAAATTTAAAATAAGGAAAGTCTCCTGGTTGTTGGTTTTGGTAAATACAAATAATTCCCATTTGTTGTATTTGGGATTATTTATTTTCATTTTCAACATAATTATAAAATTCTACTGAGAATAAAAATGTCCCCACACTCCTAGAAGATGGATTATTCTATAGCCATGATAAAAGAGAACCATGTAGACTGGTTTAAACAAGATGAATTAATCAATGCCAATTTGCTTCAATGAACTGGTCTCTGAGAGCCAACCAATCAATGACAACTTCATACTTGAAAGTCAGCCAATGGACAGTGGACTTGTTCCATGAACATAGGTCTAAAGCAAGCTACCCAACACAACTCAAAACAAGCTTTTCTCTATACCCTCTTAAGGGTATAGGGAAACAAACAGAAATTTGTTTTGCTTAATGTTTGCTTAATGTCCCGTGTGTATGTCTGAACTCTGGGTTGCATAGGTCTCCTTAATAAGCAAACAAAAAATATGCTTCGTGTTTCTGTTTAACATATCAACTGGTGATCTTGTGCTTAGCATAACCAATTTTTGAAAATTTATATCTACTCTATAGTGAGTTAAATAGAAACTTTAATGGTAGATATGCCCTGAAATGCACAGTTCTGCGTGTGGATTATAGACAAGTACACTCTCAACCTTCTCTGTGGGTTCTCATGAGGCTGTACCTGAGTGCTAATATCGAGAACTGTACTGACTGAATTGAAAGGGCTTTTTATCCTGTTACACTAAGAATCTAGACTTTATTGGTAATGTAAACTTCATATATTGCCTTTTCCTTTAGTGTGAAATATGCCAACGGCCTTTGGAAAACCTGAGAGCGGGAGACAGTATTTGGATTTATCAACGGACAATACACTGTGAACCTTGCTACTCCAAAGTTGTGGGTAAGTGTTAAGCTCTGTAAGAAACTGTTACTTTTGCTAATATTAATGAGCATTTAATATTGTTGAAAATGAAGGATTTTAATAAAGCAAAACACATTTTATTAATTATATTTAGTTAAGAATCCAGTTGCAGATAGTATGGTAGTATTTTGTTTTATGGTATAAAATCAGTCAACATGTATATTGTCTTTGATATCAGACCCGGCATAGGTACAACTAAAAAAAGAGATTATTATTATAGAACATTTTCTGTTTTTTCTAAACAAAATAGATCTTCTCTGCTCAAATAATTGGAATTGAAGTCCATATCTGTGAATTACCTTTTACATTTGCACTGAAATATACTTTCCTACCTAATTTGGTTATTATGTTAAATGCCTTGTAATGTTTTTCATGGAAAATTTAAAGTTAATTATATGTAATTAAATATTAAATTCCATGTTAAATATAGCATGTAAGTATTTTTATCAGTTTAAAATCAACATTGCTATAATTTGGGCTTTTCATCAGCATAAATGCTGTGAGAAGCAAACATTAATGACCTGCGTTTTTAGCTCACATTTCCTGTAAATGTATCATGAAAGCTTTAAAAGTTTATTTAAAAGACATGCACAGTGCTCAGTAAGTTAGGAAACCAAAGTCCTATAAAACTTGATTCATTTTTTTTAAAAGCCAGTATCAACATTTTATTATTAATTCATAATAAATAAGATACAATAACCAAGATAATATTGGGGAGCTGGTCAAAGCACTGCATGGCCGGCTGGGCTCCTGATGTTTCAGTGGTGAATGAAAGGGGAACATTTGTGATTCTTACCTGGTACCCAAAATATGGAATTTGGCGACAAATGTGGAAAATGCTCTGAAAAATATTAAGAAACTCCCTTTTCATCAGGTTGCAGAATCAGTAACAAGAACAAACCTAATGATATTCATACATTGCCTTTTATTTTCTGCTCTCCCCAGCCAGTTCTCATATTCTACTTTCTTTCTAATTTAGCAGCCTTTTCAGGATCCAATATTATATCAAGAGCCTTGATGATATGGTAGCGGCTCTAAAACTTCCAGCCTCCCAGAAATCCATGATATAGCTTAGGAGGAGGTGTGGCCACCAAAAGACTCAGAAGTCATTGTGCCTTCCTTCCTGTCTATGTGTACATAGGCATTGCATTTTTTAAAAATCCTCTCCCAAGGATATGTTTTTACTGATCTTAGAGAGCATGGGAGAGAGAAAAACATCGATATGAGAGAGAAACATTCATTGGTTGCCTCCCGTACACGCCCCCCTTCTCCCCCCACCTTCCCCCCTAGACCTGGGACCTAACCTGGAACCTAATATATGCCCTGACCAGGAATCAAACCTGCAACCTTTTGGACAAGGCTCTAACCAACTGAGCCGTACCAACCAGGGCAGCTTTGCATTCTTATAGTAAATTTGTCAAAACATAACTCTCAGACATCTCCTAAATATGAGTACCAGGCAATAGTCCTTCAAATTTATGGTGTGACCCAAAGCCATAGCGATGAATGAAGCAGAAAGAAAATGTAAAATGCTGAATCTACCATGACCCCCTTGATGAATGATTATTTAAAGAATTTTAGTTATAGAATTATTTTGTACTGAATTTGCATATCTAATTGTTATTTTCTTTTAAAATTTCAGCAAAGTGGATTCAATAATTCTGGCACATGGAAATCAAGATGAAAGCATTCATTAAGGAATTAAAAAATTTTATTTTAAGAATATGTAATTTAGAAAAGCTTTTACTCTGAAGATTGACTTTTGTATCCAATGAACAATTCTGCTATTGCATAAATAACATAATTGCCTTCAAAAAGGTCATATACATAAAGGGAACCATCTGTTATCTGGATAGATTCAGTCATCAAAAATTCAAGTGGTTTCAGTTACCAATGTCAAAGGAATGATGCTCCTGATGGCTGTGAGCATCGTCACCCCAAGCAGGTCCACCCCTGTTCCATTAAGCTGTGCATCATGATTTCTATTATAAACACATTTCTCATTGTCTCACCTTTGTTTGCCTAAGAATTTGGATTTGTGGACATTATTGACAAACTGTCAAGAAAGCAAGATATGTTTCCTTCATGTGCAAAAGAAATGTTGATAGAAATTTTCTTATACAGTTTGGCCAATAATAACATAAAGTCATATGGACCTCAGAAAGTCATTTGAAATTTCTGGTCTCTCTTTTTTATCTATAATACGAGGGGCATTGAAAACTGTCCCAAAGGCCCCTTTCTGCTCCTCAAATTATTCTAAAGCAAGTTTTTGTTTGCTCTTTAGAAATACAGTGGGGCCTTGACTTATGAGTGTCCTGACTAACGAGTTTTTCGAGATATGAGCCGTCTCTTGGCCGATTTTTTGCTTTGAGTTGAGAGCTAAAATTCGGGTTAGGAGCCAGCTTCAGATACCCCACCACTAGTTGGCGCAGCGAATGTCACAGTGAACGCCACAACATCAGCCCAGCATCATGTG